TGAAGGCAGTGAAGGTCGCTCACGGCTCGGCGACGGTGGTCGCTTGGTGAAGGCGGAGGCCATGCAGTACCATGAGCAAGAGGCCACAAAGCACATGGGCGGAGGCGGAAGCTAGCTCCACCATAGCAGGGAGGGTTCATGGCGCGGAGGCAACCTCGGCCAGAATGGGCTTCCCTTGGGCCGCAATTCAGCCCATGGAGACAACGCGGTGAAGAAAGAAAGGTCCAATTTGCCCCGGCCACCTGCACTAACAAGAGGATATTCAGGAATGTACCGTAGTAGTTGTAGGACAAATATGTAAAAGGGAAAAGTAGTGAATAGTGCCCTATAAAAGGGAGAGCTGAAACTTTTGGGGGTGGTTGGTGAGTGCATTTATGAAACCCTAATTGAGCCAGACCCACCTACTTCTTTCTCTACCTTCGCTTGGGGCATCCGACCGGGGTGGAGGCTCACTCCATACCACTTGGCCGGAAGCGCTACTTCCCAACATTAGTGCCCAACGCGCATTGGTCAAGCAAAACCCATGATGCCGAGAAAAGAGCAGCCCTTTTGAAACACCTACGGAGCCTTCGACAAGGGGACGACTCAGGCGTAATACCCGCAACACTTACGCCAGTGCCCTAGAGGACCAGGTTGTGGAAGAACCCGTGGTCGAAGCTCAGCCTCCGGTAGCCGAAGATCAACAAGCCTCAGATCCCACCCTAGAGCAAGTACTCCATCAATTGCAAGCCCAGCTGCAGAGTACACAACAAGAAAGAGATAGGCTGGCAGCAACCTTCACCACAAATTAGAGCGTAGCACAGATCATTACAGGCAGCAGAGATTAGGCAATAGTTGGTCGTCCTGCAGACAAAAATTCAGAGTATGCAGCCAAGCCAGCCCAGACTAACATTTCCAACCAGCTCCAGTCAACAGATCAAAGCTAGCCTAACCCTTCGCCAGGTATGGCGGCCCAGCCAACCTTCGGCGCACCGTTCAACTCGCCGCCATCCTATAGAGCTATAGATTCAAAATCCCCACTCTCCGAGGGAATCCAAACCTCACCTTGGCCACCATCTTACAAGCACATTACCCTATCTAAATTCAACGGAAGATCAGACCCCCGTGAGTTCATCATGAGTATCGAAGCAGCCGTAGCATCCGCAGGAGGGAATGACACTGTCTTGGCCAAGTCATTTGTTATCGCAGCTGAAGGAGACGCATTGGCATGGTACTCAATGTTGAGGCCAAGCTTGGTATATTTATGGGAAGACCTCCGAGATAAGATCATCGCTAACTTCAAAGGGTTCACCATTGAATCTCTGACATCAATGGACTTATTTCAGTGCAGACAGAATCAAGGTGAAGCGCTAAGAGATTATTTTTAGAGGTTTATGCAGCTTAAAGCGAAGGCACCAAATGTCCCAGAGGATGTGGCAATTGAGGCCGCAGTCAAGGTCCTCCGCATCGGAGCCTTCGCGGCTCATCTAGCTCGAGAAAAGCCAAGCACTATACAGGAACTGTATACAGAGTTTGAGAAGTATTGTAGGTCAGACAATGACCTCCGAAGAAGGCTAGAAGAACAAAATCAGAACAAGTAGAAAACAAGTGGCAGGAATGTTTAGAAGAGCAACAGAAGCCAAGGCCAATTGCAGCCTCAGCAGACCTCTGGTCAACAAGTTTTTAACATAGAACAGCAAGGAAACAATCAGCGGGGGCAGCACATGACGGAGGCAAAACAAAACAAGCCATCACACAAGCAGTACGAAGGCAAGAAATACAATCAAAGGAAGAACTGAAACAAAACCCAAGAACCAAGACAGTGGAGGCAGTATTATTTCTTTCATGGAGAAAACAAAGGGCACATCACCAGAGATTGCCCAGACGCGAAGGAAACTCAGAAAAGGATAAACAGCAGAGAAAACACTCAGCCTCCATCACAACAACCCACCAGGGAGGTCAACCACACCTTCGCTGCGCCTTCACAGCAGCCATATTGCCCAATCTACCCAAGTCTTAACTCCAATCAAATTCACCCATCCACTTTAGCAGCCGCATACTATCCCAAGTTCCTACCTGCATGACGACCAAGTACCCAACAGCAAGGACAGGCAAGTAATCAGCGAGCAAAAGACAACCTCACCTACATAAATTCAAGGCCTCCGCACATAACATACATAGAGACAAACCAACTAGCTCAGGTCCATAATAGACAACTAGAAGCACCTCCACCGCCACCTCCACCATAGCTAGCCGCCTCCAAAAATGAGCCCAACTCAGAAAATCAACTCAACCCACATACACCACTACCCACCATCGGCATGATATTGCCAATAGCCGAAGGCTCTTCAGTGGAATTCTATACAAAGAAGAAAAAGAAGGATCACCTCAGGCTCATCAACAACATAGCAGTCTAAGGCCCAATGCGCTGTACAGATTGGTCGAAGCCACCAATCACCTTCTCAGAGCAAGACCTGTAATTAGAAAGTTACCCCCATACCGACGCTATGGTAATCAGGGCCAACATAGCGGGTTGGGAGATCAATAGGGTTCTCATAGACTCTGGAAGCTCAGTAGATATCATCTTCGTTAATGCCTTCGACTAGATGAAACTAAGCAGGACCCAGCTGTAGCCTTCGGATTCACCACTAATCGGTTTCGGGGGAAAGAAGATTGATGCACTAGGAATAATATCCCTGCCAGTTTCCTTCGGAGGCCAGGAAAATGCAAGAACAGAATATGTAACCTTTGACGTAGTGGACCTCTATTACCCGTACAACGCCATCTTCGGCAGAGAGTTTGCGAACAAGTTCAGCGCAGCCATCCATATGGGTTACTTGTGCATGAAGATGCCAGCTTTGCACGACACCATCACAATACATGGCAGTCAGAAAGAAGCAAGAAACATAGAAAGAGCTATCTACAAATCGCAGCGAAACATCAATTATGTTGATTCATCAAAGAAAACTGAGCTAGAGCCTCCGAACATGCCGAAGGGCAAAACAGATCTCAAAGATCAAGAAGAAACAAAGTCGGTCCCATTGGAACATGCAGTCTCAAACAGAAAGGTCACCATCGGAGCTAACCTATCGAAGGCAGAAGAAACAGAACTCATAGAAACCTTAGCCAGGAATAAAAAAGTCTTCGCCTGGTCAGACTCCGACGTAAAAGGAGTCAATAGGGATATCATACAACACTCCCTTGACATCAACCCCAAAATGAAACCAAGAAAGCAGAAACAAAGGAAAATGTCCGAGGATAGAATATTGGCAGCAAAGGCTGTTAGATGCAAACATCATCAGAGAAGTCAAGTATTCAGAATGGTTAGTAAATGTAGTGCTGGTGCCAAAGAAGAATGGAAAGATGAGAATGCACATAGACTTTACAGATCTGAACAAGGCATGCAAGAAAGATCTATTTCCGCTACCAAGGATAGACACCTTCGTCGATAAGGCAGCAAGATGCAAGCGCTTCTCCCTACTGGATTGTTTCTCAGGATATCATCAAATTTGGCTCAACCTTCGCCAGAATGACGAAGGCAGTCCTTGGCCGACAATTACAGAAAAACATCATAGCTTATGTCGATGACATTGTAGTAATGAGCAAGAATGAGGAAGATCATATAGCAGATGTAAAGGAAACCTTCGCCAATCTCAGGGAAGCAGGCCTAAAGCTAAACCCAGACAAGTGTGTTTTCGGTGTCAGCCGAGGAAAGATGCTCGGGTACATCATAGGATCCGAAGGTATTCGGGCCAACCCAGAAGATGAAGGCTATAATCTCAATGGTGGAGCCATCAATCAAAAAGGAAGTGCAAAACTCATTGGAAGAATATCAACATTGAAAGATTTATCTCAAAATCAAGCGAAACACGCCTCCCATTCTTTAGAGCTCTGAGAGGCGGAGACAAGGTGGAATGGGAACCAAAGCAGTCGGAGGCCTTCCAGCAACTCAAAAATTACATGGCTAGCAAACTCTTGGTAACAGTGCCAGATCCGGAGGCCCCACTACTGTTATATGTGGTAGCCTGCGAACATGCAGTTAGCGGGGTACTCATTCAGGAGAAAAAAGAAGGGTCGAAGGTCATTCAACAGCCTATCTACTATACCTTAGAAGCCCTATTGGGAGCAAAGCTGAATTATACAGAAATCGAGAAAATTGCATATGTCGTGCTCATCTCATCAAGAAAGTTAAAACACTACTTCCAAGCACATGAGATCACAGTGCCGTCTTCGCAACCACTCGGAGATGTGTTCAACAACAAAGAAGCCTCCGGAAGAGTAGGGAAATGGGCAACAGAATTATCCCAATTCGAAATCAGCTATGTGCCAAGAACAACAGTCAAATCCCAAGCATTAGCAGACTTTATGGCAGATTGGACACATTCGGCACATCAAAACCCACAGCCTCAAACCCAAATCTGGACGCTCTACACAGACGGAGCATAGGGGCATTTGGGAGCTGGGGCCTCCGCCGTTTTGATAGCACCATCAGGCCTTCGTAGCAAGACTAGAATTCAAAACAACAAATAACATAGCAGAATATGAAGGTCTCGGCCTCAACAAGGCAAAGGCACTCGGTGCGAAGACCGTGCTAGCAAAAACAGACTCCCAAGTCGTTTAAACACATCTTAGTACTTAACCAACAAAAGGAGCCTCCATATTAATTCTTAAGTCATAGAAAATACCACATTAATCGGATAAAATAAAATCAAAGTGTCTGTTAAACACGTTGATAAATTATCTACCATTGCCATTACACAACAAAAATCTCAAAATACCATTATAGCTATTCCACTATTATCCACCCATGCCATTAGTAAGAAAAACATGAAGCCAGTAAAAAGAGAGAGAAAAACATGTATGAAGCCAGCCACACACGTGTCTGCGTCATACTTAACGTATTTAAGATTGAAATTAAAATGGTATGATGTATGCTAAAAATACAAACATACTAGTTGATCTACCTAGTCACACCATCAAACGGATTGTGCCTAAACTATACAGGATGCTAAATTTAGTTGTCAAATGGAATAGAACAAGCGCTCACCTGCCGTGGAAGGCGCCGGCGCGGGAACGACCACTTCGCCGTTCATCTGGAGCTTCACCATCGGGCTGTTGGTGTAGGACTTGTCCCCAATGTCAGACCTGAGGTTGCACCGGGAGCCAGCGAACCTCGCGCTTGCCCCGTCGGGCTTGAACCCACTCCCGTTCCACCACAGTGCCATCAGGTCGTCCAGGCACCTCCGGCACTGCGCCGGCGCCAGGTCCCCCGCGCACTGCGCCAGGGACCAGATGTTGGGGACCCGCGGGTCGAGCCCCACGAGCTGCCCCGCAGCGAAGTACAGCCTCGGCGACGCCGACGACGGGGCCGAGCTGCTGTCCACGGCGTACTGCGCGGTGGCGTTGAGCAGCCGCCTGAGCGCCGCGTCGTAGGCCGCGACGTCGACACCGCCGGGGATGGTGGCGCCGCCGACGACGCTCACCATGCCGGTGTTCTTGGGCGAGGCGAGGAAGTTCGTGGCGGCGACGCGGACGTAGCACTGGTTGTAGACGAGCGCGGCGTCCCGGGTGCGGTTGCAGAGCGGCTGCACGTCCTGCCACGCGCGGGTGCCGCAGTCGAAGCAGTCGTTGGTGCTGACGTCGCCGCGGCAGATCATGAGCCCGTAGACGACGGCGGCGGTGCCCGCGCCGACGGAGCCCGACGCGAAGTAGGCGGGCGAGGCGGACGCGTTCGTCTGGAGGCCCAGGATGAGCTGCTGGGTGTTGTTGGCGTAGGCGCTGCCGGCCACGTAGTTGCCGCTGGCGCCGTCGCAGCTCTTCCACGGCTGCGCGGCGGCCGACGACGCCAGCAGCACTGCTGCTAGCAGGGCAGTGACGCGAGCGACGCGGCCGTGCATGGCGCGCGCGAAGGGAGGAGCCAGAGCCAGATGCGCAGCGCGGGAGAGAGGATTGTGTGGTGTGAGCTGGACAGATGCAGAGGAACTTGGCTGTCTTGACAGTTTGGCATAGAGGAGCTCAATGCAAGAGGACGACGCACCAGCGCAACGCATTGCGGTGGTCAATGGCAGTGCCCAGTAGAATATGGATATGATTGTTGATTGCAGCTGGGTTGGTGTACGTCCATCGGTCCATGGCAACTTGATGTTGATGGTGACTTTGCCGACGTTTCTTTTCCCTTTGGAACACATTGAGCGGCGAATTCCAAAAGATGACGAGCCGGGAGGAGCTGCACCTGCACTCAAGTTGCTTGGCCATCAGTTTCGCAGAAACCAGAGCAGACCACGTGTTTCAGGTCGGTAATTTTTTTTTTGATGGAACAGGAGCGGCAAAAGCCCCTACTGAAGTTTCATTAAAAAAAACAAAACAAAGTAAAGAGTACAGAGGTTCTCAGGAAACAAAAAACGTACAAAAGTAAATAAAGAAAATTACACAAAGGCTTCTAGCCATTAGTCAATGTGAGGATGGTATTTTGACTTGGCCCTTAGGATAACCAAGGCAAATTCCTGCTTCAAAACAGTCTTGCAACGATGCAGCGAGGGAGCAAGATTTCTGAAGATAGCATCATTGCGCATAGTCCAGATTGCCCAACACATTGTGATAATCACTTCCATGAAGAAAGGAACCCGAAGTTGTAATCTGAAGCTCTATAACAAACCTTCTAAATCGGATGAATTGGGAACCATCAAGTTCAGGCGGTACCAGCAGCTCACAGCAAAGAGGCAGTGAAAGAATAAATGAAGAAGATCTTCTTCATAATCCAAAGAGCAGGATACACAAGAATAATCCTCAAGATACATGTTCTTGCGCTTCAATAAGGCTCTAGTACTCAACCTGTCTTTTAGAAGAAGCAAAAAAAAAACTTTCTCTTGTTTTGACATGAAGACTTCCATAGCCACTGATAACATTGGTGTACCTGACGGTGACCAATTAGATGTTTATAAGCTCTGTTGGATGTGAAAGTAGAGGAACCCTAAATGTAGGTCCAAATATCCTCAGGTTGTAGCTCTGAAGCATCAAGGAAAGTTTCAAGAATTGGGCATGGGCCTCTTGATAAGGGTAAGTGAAATAAATCTTGAAAGTGCTGGGCTTGGATGGCTGACTGAAAGGTGATGTTGCTATTCTTGCAGAAGGAAAAGAGCTCTGGAAAAGTCTGAGACCAAATATTACCCTCCCAAAGGTCATGCCAGAGTAAGCAGGTTGCACCATTCTGCAATGAAACCACAGATATACCTTTGAATTGTTGGAGCAGCTTAAGAACATCACGGCACCAGAAGGAACCTCTCTGTGGACCCTGAAGAGCAGGCAGTCTGTTGGCAGCATAGTATTTCCTCCAAACAAGCTGAACCCAGGGAATATCCATGTGACTATAAAATTTGTGCAGATGTTTGAGGAGGAGGCTTTCATTCTGAACTCTGAGATTGATGACATTCAACCCTCCTCCTGTCTTTGGCACACGTACCATTGGCCAGGCTGCTTTTGGGTGGTTTTCTATTATTAGCATCTGAACCTCTCCAAAGACGGTGCTTTCTAAACTTGTCAATTTGCTTAGTAACTGTTTTCGGCAGAAGATATGTGCACATAGTGTAAGTGGGGAGGGCTGTAAGCACAGCATTTGTCATTTGAAGCCTACCTGCATCTGACAAAAAATTGAAAAAAGTTGCAAGCCTCCTTTCACACTTGGAAACCAAGGGCCAAAAGTCTGCCACCGAGGGTTTGGTGAGGCTAAGCCCTTGTTTAATTCCACCCCAACTTCTAAAAAATTGCTACAGTACCTGTCACATCGAATGTTTGCGGTCCATGCATGGAGCATTAAATGTAGACGAAAAGAAAAACTAATTGCACAGTTTGGTGGGAAATTGCGAGACGAACGTTTTGAGCCTAATTAGTCCACGTTTGAACACTATTTGCCAAATAAAAACGAACGTGCTACAGTAGCCCCAAAATCTAAATTTCTACAACTAAACACAGCCTAAGAGGAAGACCCAAATATGTAAAAGGGAGAGTACCCTTGGAGCAACCAAAATTAGCAGCCAACTCATCTAACCTGGTAGCTGATAGATTAACCGGGAGCATCAGTGATTTATCAAAATTCACCTTGAGACCAGAAGAGGCAGCGAAAGAAATGAGAAGAGCTTTGAGATTGTTCAACTGAGCAGTGTCAGCTTGCACGAAGATGAGAGTGTCATTTTGGTTGCTCAAGGTGGATTCCCGAGTGGTCGGTAATATTTTGATCGATTCTCGAGTGTGATGGATTAAACTAAACAATTAGGCATGGCATGGCATCCACTGGAAGGTGGATGGATTAAACAACTAAACAAAGCCTGGGCCGTCGACGTCACCGGACATGATAGCTTGCGGGAACAGAAGACAGCGGCGTGGCTGGTGGTTTTCTTCAGTCGTGGAGACGGCTGCGAGTTGTGCACAGAATAAAGTAGAGGGAGGTCAGGTCGCCCCCGAAGTCCCAGCTGCTAGTACACACACGCACTATAGAAGAAAAGAACGTAGTACATGAAAATGCTGTACAGTACGTTCAATGTTCAAAGGTGCACATCCACATGAGCACATACCTCAACGGCTCAACCACGTCAAGGGTGCCGCGCCGTCGCCGAGTCGTCGACCACCTCAGCTTCTAGTACAGTGTTTGCAGCGCCCACCGCTGCACACGAGACGAACGGGTGGTCCAACCGAGCGCGGCGGACACCGGTGGCTTTCGGGATGTGCCGATGTGCCCTACGCATCGCATCACGGAGGCGAAGGCCTTGTGTGTTTGGATGCTACTACATCGTTTCGGAACCATGGCAAGAATCACACGCCGTCGTCTCTTTCTATTATTCGCCTTTTGTTGGCTGGCAGCAAGCAGTAGCGTCGTCGTCGGGAGTGTTCGCTTGTAAGTCATGGTACAATATTTTTCTATCTTAATAAATTAGTCGTACAAATCAGCACTAGCGATTTTACGAGTAGCCGAAGAGAGCCCGAGCGATCTTTCATTGCATGAGTAGCCAGAGCATCGGGGGATGAACCTGTCACCTGTCACCATGCCATGGCGGGTAGGCCGCCCTGTTGCCAACTTGCCATTGGCGAGAGTGGTGAGGCAGGCAGTCACGGCCACTGTGGCCACTGGCCACGCTGCTCTCTCTGCCGTCTGCCTTTCATTGGAGCCTTCCGCGTTGTGCACACCGCATATTTTCGCCCGGACATGGATGTAGGCCGAGCTTTTGGCCCACTCCAGCCCCGTTGAACGCAGCACGTCCCAAAACCGTTCCTTTTTATTAGAGCTTTTTACCTACATATGGCCCTGAAAAAATGTATCTTCCTTGTAGAGGCCTTTTTTCCCTTACTTCTATGGTCTTCCGTCCGATTTTAACACTTGATAGTGTTAAATCCAAGGTAAAATAACCACCCCTGGCGAAAAAGAATACAAAGTTTTGTTTATCTGTCGTACATTTAAAGTAATATTACGCAAATAAGTTTATATATAATAGTATATAATAAGACACATAATCAAGTACACAAATACATAATCACAAAACCGGCCATAAATAAAAGGAACATAAAACCGGCCATAAAAATCAGAAGAATATACTCTCATATTTAATCACATGCGCGCTTGCTTGCATGCGTGACATGATAAAAAAAACACCAAGAGCCGCATTATCCGATCCTACGAATAGTGAATGAGGTGCGTCCGGCACGAGCGGCATGGGAGCATGGTTTTGGAGCCACGCGCTGCATGCATTGACCTGTCAGGCGCCTTCATCCCTTTCCACGCAAATAATGGACTCTGCTCAGCTGGAGTATACATACGATACGCGGTCACACGTACGTGTATGTACCGGGACACGCCAATGCATCCACACGCACGTCGTCCAGGAAGGAATCCACGTATATCTATCTACACCTAGAAGACTCTAAAATAATCATCTACGTGAATGATATCAAATCCGTATACTATCCGGTCAGCGTTTCTGCGCACCAAAAGTCCAAAGTCCACACGCCTCCACGCCAGAAGTCCGAAACTGCGAGACGGCGTCCACCCCGTAGGCAGCCCAGCCCGTATACAAACCGTACCATATGAGGATTTCAGATACGTACACGTGAACCGTACGAGAATTTCAGATACGTACGTGATCGCTGCATCCAAAACTCCTCCCAGCACGCCGCGACTCCCTTCTCCCGCGCGGGCCGTGCCGCGAGCCCGCGTCTCCTCCTACGCCCGGCTCCCCGCGCAGGCCGCGACCTCCCTTCCGCTCGGCCACGATTCCCTCCCCCGTGCTTGCGCAATAAGCTTCTCCCTCTCCAGATGCATCCTGGTGTCTGGCTCCAAAACGGTGGTGCGCGGCGCGTATCTCGTCCAGTTAGCCATCAACAGGCCTCAGCGTCTACCTGACATCTACACGACGGATATCGACCACAACGTTTACTGGACAAGACCTCAGGAAACGTTTTCTCTTGAGCGTGAACCAACCTGCTAACAAGCGTTCAAGGATGCATCAACTCAACTACGTATACATCCACCTGTGATTTTTTCAATCGATCCACCTGCAGGACATACATTTTAGGCGACATCAGGTTTCAACTGAATTTACCTAAGCATGTTTGCCAGGTTGTTTAGTGAACATACTGTTGCCATCTCTACTAATACATGCAAGAATGAAATAACTAAAAGGATCTACATCAAAACTTGAATTATATCCTAATCGTTCATCTTTCATGAAGAGTCGTGTATCAGTGATGTTGTCACTATCACGCTCGAAGTATTATTTTTAGGATTAAGTCCACTTTTGGCCCTCAACTATTGTGTTGGTCTAATTTTAACCCTCAACTACAAAATTGTCTAAGATCTTATTACTCCTAACTATCAAAACCGTTCACTTTTAACACCTGACGCGGGGAGAAG